CGTGAATGAGTCTCTTGGCTCTGCGTACCACCGAGACCAGTGCGGCAAGCTGATACTTGTATTTTCGTATTCATTAATAAAGCATTCGAGTTTCGGATCGTAATCAAAAGATCTGCAGTCATTGACTTTTAAAATTTTGTATAATATCGATTGTATTTACTGTAATAAAAAAAATAAGACAGTAGCACTAATATTATGGGTATCTGAAAAAACGAAGGCAACGAAACATTCAGGTCCGAAACAATATAGAAAAGTTTACATTGAATCAACTGGAAATCTTTGAAACCACGGGGGTATAATGGAAATATTTTAAAATTAATAAGTTTTGTATTGTGTGCCTTGAAGGAAACTGAAAAACCTATTAAAGCGAAGTTTATGTTTTTATGTCGCTGAATTAAAATATAAAGTTGTTAATGCAATTCACAACTATGACAGTTAGTGTGAGATTTAGATTTTCTATTTTGATTGTACATATACTTAGGTGACATATTGTGTACGTCTCAGTGAATAGTGCTGGCTGGTAATCGTTCGTAGGGCTTCACACTTCAGGCGCGATCGCTAGTGATACAACGTACCGCCCGCCCAAGTGCACGCTTCCCACCATTTGCATTTCATAGAGGTAAGTTTTTATACGTGTGTTAAAAAGTTTTGTTGTAGGTAAAATACTTTTTGAAACATTAACAGTCTTTCAAAAAAGGTTGTTAAAAAAAGAAACAATTATTATAGGACGTGTACTTTAAAATTGCAAATTATGTAGGTGCTTGAAATATAAACTATCGCTGACATTTTTCAAAAAGGTTTCACGATAAATATTTTTTTAAGTATGTTTAAGAAATATAAACACATTCTCAATAAATATTAAAGATCAATTTGTTTATGGTTATGGTGGTAAACCTTGCGGATAAAAGGTAGTAGACAAAGAAAATTTACACACTACGCAGTAAGCATTAGATTTTTTTAGTATGAACGTCAATATTATAATATATTTTTATGAGTGTATGATCATTTTTGTGCTAGATAAAAGTTGAGAATAAAGCACTGGAGTTGAAAAAAATACTATAAAATTTTTATTACTCGAATGGGTATATTTCCGTCAACAATTGATTAAATATCGGTGACTTTTTAATGGAAAAAATAGTATAACAATAGAGAATTTAGTTTTTTGAACTTTGGTAATTTTTATCAAATAATTTTAATTACATACAGCAGCACATAAGTTTATCACAATGTGTCAAATTTCCGCAGCTGATTTTGAACTCTACTTTCCATTAATTATTATGAAGTTTAAACTCAAGTGAATAAAAATAGTTTAACTTGACATGCTGTTAACTGTACCTAGACCTAAACTGATTATATGTAGCAATGACGTTTAATGGAATGGTTTACATTGACGTTTAATTTAATGTAATGGCATAGAGTCACGTTCGTACCGCGGTAACATTAACTGGACAATAAATTCAATATTAGTTTTTTAAACTTCTATAAAATATTAAAAAGTATTAAAATTTTAATTTCAAAAAAGCTCGTTTAACTGAAGAACATGTTCCCGATATCTATCTACATCCAGATATAATAAATGCGTTATGTTGCGACCGCATTTAACGTAAATCTAAAATTGCAAAAATGTAAGCGCATGCATTGTAGACTGTAAACGTGAATCGCAATTGTTGTGTGCTAAGGAATTATTTAAAGCGAGATAATGGAACAATATTTTAATATTAATTTTGGATATTATTTTATTATGTATAAAATGAGATATACCAAATTCTTTTGTTGATTCCTCAACGCCTCTATCGAAAAACGAATTTTATAACTAAGGCTCGGTTACCCGTACGTCCCTCACGTCGTTCGCAAATTATATACTGCAAATTGTTATTTTGCTCGCTGTTTTAGTATGTACAATTGTGAATTCTCTGATATAGACCTGTTTAACTGCTCTCTTAGTAGCGTTAAGTCCCAAATCTTTACTAAAATAGTATAGTAAGCAACTAAAATAGCCTCTCGAGTATAATTTTTTTTCCCGCCAATAAGTTATCCAAATTCTGGAAAAAGTAGAAGTCTGTAGGCGCAAAGTCTGGTGAGTACAGTGGATAACGGAGAACTTCCAACCCCAGCTCTTGTAGCTTGGAGACCATCTGCTGTGCAGTATGAGGTCGCGCGTTGTCGTGCAGAAGCAGTGGAGTCGAACGATTGACCAAAGCTGGTTGGAGATGTGCGAGCTTCTCCATCATTGTGTTCAGTTCTTCACAGTACACATCTGTAGTAATGATCGTCCAATTCAGTAAGAAGCTGTGATAAATTACACCCGCGTTAGACCACTAAACAGTGACCATCACTTTTCTAGGGGTAAGTTTTCGTTCTTAGCATTATTTGGGTTCTAAACCAGGGTCTATTCAACTTGCTGAGCGCTTACAATTGTTGAACAGGATCCATTTCTCGTCACAAGTAACAATGCAGTTCAGCATTCCTTCATTTGCATGTCTGTTGAGCAATGCAAGGCACGTCTCGACGCATCACGCTGGTGATCATTAAGTTCGTGGGGTACCCATTTGTCAAGCTTTTTTACATTGCCAATTTGACGCAAATGCACCAATATTGTTTTGACGCTAACATCGAAAGCTGCTGCTAATTTAGCCATAGATTGAGACAATCGCCTTTAATTCGTTATTGTCAACCAAAGTTTTCGGACGGCCTCGGCGTTTATTTTTCAGGTCATCCAGAACGGAAGCGGGCAAACCAATAACGGGTAGTGCGTTCGTTTGTAGTATTCGCTCCGTAAACGTCGTTGATGTTGTGTTCCGCTTGTGCCGCTTTGCTGCCACGACGGTACTCATACTCTATAATTACTCGAATTTTTAACTTATCCATGACGACGATAAATATTCGAATACGTTGAAAATAAAACACTAACTATTAAACAAACTAGGATTTTAGAAATTTTTTTTATTTTTTTAATAATATTAATTTGAAATTAGTATTCGAAATTTCGTTTTTGGATAAACAGAGTAATCCTTCTAGTGTGAGTCCCATAGTAAAAGTTATTCAGTAAATTTAACTCAATAACGTCAAAAAGTTCTGGCATTACACCTTATATTAAGATTCCTAATATTACCTTATAATTTATATTAAGGTGCGTGTTGTTAGCTCGTCTTGTCTAACTATGGTAATTATCTGTCTACTTTAGTTCACTACTTATAGTTCCAAATGTGATGTTTCATTAAAAAGCAATCATTGGGACCGTGATAAACAGTTGTTAGTTTAACAATAAGAGTTTATAGTTTAATATTAGCGTCTGGAACATTAATAACATGGGCTATAAAATAAAATTACAGCTAGGTTCAGGGCAAGCATTAATTTACCTATATCTTGATGAGCGAAAATTATATATTAACAATGAAATATTTTTAAACGTATTTTTTGTCTTTTTCCTTTATAAGGAAAAAATATATCCCATAGAAATTACTATGCCGATTAGCCGGAAAATATATTTATTAACGATTTTATTATGCTACTTTTTCTTTAATAAATCCACTCCCACATTTAAATAGCTCGGATGCCCTAGTAGAATAACATGACATAATATAATTCCAGTCTATTTATTCCTACGTCTTTAAAAGAAGAGGAAGCTCATTACTTGTATGGTGGTTGGTATTAGTAGGAACTTATATGGGGCGGCGAAAATATTATATACTATATAATCAAAGATTCTGGGTTTCAATAAAATTGCGCAAAGGATGTTAAAAGCATTTTGTGATTTTACTAGCTGACCCGGCGAACTTCGTACCGCCTTATACCCGTTTTTTTAAATATTATATACAAACCGTGTCATGAATCGTGGAACATGTAAAAAATGGAAACATCCAATTTGGTGCAGTCGGAACTGGAATTCGGAAGTTATGTTCGTATACGTTTCGGCGATTCATTTTTATTCATCGATATTTAATAGCTGGCCCGGAGATTTTTATTTTCTAACTTATTTATTTGAATAAGGATTAATACCGTATTGTTAAAAATAGGTTCGTAAATAACCCATCATTTTACTGTTTTAAGTATACGTAAAAAATGGTTATTGAGGGTTATCCTTGGAATATATACATATACCAACGCGGACTTTTATAAATCTATTAAAAAGGTACAATTTCACCATAAAATATTTTGTTATAACTCAAAAGTTTTTGGCATCGTTTTCGAGGAAAGCTACCGATCGGATTTATTTTTTCCGACATATTGAACTAATATAGTTGGTAATACCATCAGTTTGTATAAAACCTAAACTTACTATACATTATAACCTTCCTCGAGAATTGCTCTATCTATTGTTGAAAACCGCATCAAAATCCGTTGCGTAGTTTTAAAGATTTAAGCAGGGATATAGGGACAGAGAAAGGGACTTTTTTTTTATACTATGTAGTGATTTTGCATTTACATTTCAACGGTTCACTCAGCGGCACAGAACATGAACCCAGTACTTGATTACAAAAAAACTGAAGTTAGGCAAAAAAATGTTAACTTCAATGAAGATGACTAAATTCTTTAATTTAGCATACACGAAAGTTGGTGTTACTTTTAAGTTTTTATCGAAACGGGTCGTTTCAGTGATCAAATTCCATTATCTTTTTTGGTATTATGATAATGTAGCGTTCTGTTAATGAAATTTTGTTTGTGTTTGTGATCGTCTGGGGTGCGACTCCCCTAATTTTCTAGCCGCTAAATTATGACTCTAGGCATAGGATACGTCATCATAGTTTTGTTATGGCGACATTTTATTTTATTTTACTACTTTGACACGTACTTTGATCACGACGAACGAATTATTAAGAATAATTATAGATTTGACAGCAATGTTACCGATTTTGTCGTTTATCCACCAAGAGAGTTAGGCGGACGCACTCCTGGTATTTAGTCATATCTCAGTGAATTTATAAGTAAAGAAAATGTCATCAACACCAGAACAAATTGCACAACGCGTAGCTTGAATTAATAAAAGTCTGACAAAATTCATGGGAGCCATTTTACCTCCTCGCTTTTACAATAACTTTTGTTTTTACAGTTTCTTAGAGATTTATAACGAGCGCGTGCATGATCTACTAGCCGGCGAATCAGCTCCACCGACATGTCACTCGTTGCCCAGGCGCAGGGGTAATGCACGGAAAGATCTACGCGTGCGCGAACACCCTGGAAAAGGACCATATGTGCAAAGTAAATGCTTTTTAATAATATTAGATACTCAGATGAGTACTATATGAGCGCTTTTCATTCTTTTCAAAAATCTACTTCGTCCAATTTCTTAGACAATAATTGCAAATCTTTAATGAACTTATGAAAGATACTTCATGTTCATGTAACAGATAGGGTTTTAATAAAACTGATTTTGGTATTGTAAGTTTTGAATATTAATTAAAATTGTATAAGCTATACAACAGAAAGTCCACTAAAATTTATACTTAGCATTAGAAAGATAGACGTTGATAGTGGATTGATAAGAGAAGTAGAGTCCAGAACACCTCACCTCACTTTTAAGTACTCGCAGGCTTCACCTCACCATGCCATCAAATGGAAGTTAATTTGCATTCAAAATCAAATTTAAATAACATTAGAAATAAATATGAATATTCGAAGATTGTCACTAAATAGTATAAGAGATGTCATATCATATAAAGAATCGACAGCCTGAATGAGTATTTCTTTGTTACCTATAGATCTTCGCAGAGTTGCCATCCACAGTGTAGATGCTTTACTTGCATTGGTGAATGAAGGTGCGAGACGCCGTCGTACTGCAGCAACCAGACGTAATTCCACATCCTCGAGGTCCCACGCTCTACTAGAGCTCGCCACCAAAAACGCCACATTACATCTTGCTGACTTGGCCGGCAGGTAAAATCAGAGTTCTGGACCATCAGCTGTTAGTGCTAACATCAATGACGCATTATAGTTAGACACATCTTAAAAGAACATTACTGCAATTCAAAATTTGAAGTACCTTTATACGAGCGCATACAATACGCATGAAACCTTTTCCGTTAAAGTGTGTTGTGCCCTGTCATATTACGTAAATACCTAGCGCAAACCACCGCACAATGAATGTCATAATTTTAGACATTGTTAAATGCCATTAGGTGGTTCCTAGTCATTAGTGAAATGCATTTTGGCCTTAGGCGAATACCGCTCGTTTTCACTAAACCTAGGAGATGCTCAAATCTGTTACCTAAATATTTAAAAATCGCCTAAGGTGAAAACGAATGCACCAATGACTAGGAACTACCTGATGACATTAAGCAATGTCTTAAGTCTTGTTATGAGGTGCCTTGCGCTAGGTATCTCCGTAATATGACAGCTCACAAATGTGTCAAGAGATAAAATAAGAAAAAAATATATAGAATTAAACCCATTTCTTTAGACGATTCATAAGATTGGCGTTTACTAGATAAGCTATGCCTTGTTCTAGGTTAGTGAAAACGGGTGTAAATATTTTGGCAACAGATTTAGGCGACTCCTAAGTTTAGTGAAAAGGAGCGTAAGAGAAACTCGGGCAATGCCTTACTTTTTAGCAGCAACTACTTATAAAATCTAGTAACGAATCTAAGTAAGTGTTGATTATATCCTTGGTACATACTTTTGTATGTAGGTAGAGTCATATGGGGCAGGAGTCTTATCAACGGAAGCTAAGAAAGCTCTCGATTAAGTCATCACTATTCTCTTTCGGTGCGCTTTCATTTGAGACCCCACTCGAGTATATTTGCAGACATTCGTTTATTCTCCCCATTTTCAGACCCCACTACATTTAAAAGGCTCAACCGTCTAAGATCATCGCCTTTAATAAAAAATAAAAATAAAAAAAACTAAACCGAAATCGACCCGTTCAGGAGCTAAGACATCACAGACAGATACGTTAAACTTATAATACCCTCTTTTTGCGTTGGGGTTTAAAAAAAGAGAAATTACTCGCTATGCTTATATTATACCTACGTGACTACAAATCTAAAGCAGTATGCCCGTGGGGAGTTCTCCTAATTCCCTATAGTCATTCAAATGAAGACTATGTTTCGATGTTAGCACCAGCTAATCCTTTTAATATTTCTCTTAGTCGTTTAGTATCATTACGAATAGCCTACTTAGAAACCTTTTAAGTACATTTGCGTCGCAACACGAATGCTTGTGTCATGTAACATTAAGACTGCTGGCAGAATATACACTCACAGGCACAATTAACCGCCCCCCTGTGTCATTCATCATCCTGTTTGGTTCCGTCAACTATAGCTTATCAACAATTTTTTTTTTTAAGTGGGTATTCTAGCAATAAATAAAACACTTATACCATTATTTTCTGTCTTAAATTTGTGTCATCGAGGGGTTTTCGGAATATAGTCGTTGTTTTACATTGTTGCTGTTGTATTACATAGTTAACATTTTCTGTTATTTTCTATCATAGTGGGTGAATATTGTTTAATTTTAAATTATAGTGTTTGCTCAATGTTTGTGATTGCAAAAATGCCATTCGATGCAACTGATGTAGCTAGAGCTGTAGCTAGTGGTTTTTGCTGATGCGGGCCAGCGTCACATCGCTCGCACACTCTGTGTACGTTGAACAACGGTACGAGATGCCATCAGACGATTTCGGGAGACAGGCTTTACACCCGCAGGCCAGGTCAAGGCCAACATCAATGCACTTCGACTCGAGATGACCGATTCGTTGTCACCAATGTGTTGAGAAATCGCTTTTCAACCGTTACTGAAGCTCGTAAGCGTTTTTTTGAGGTGAGAAATGTCACTGTCAGTGAACGTACCATTAGAAGAAGACTAGCAGAAAGTAATTTGAAGGCTTTTCATCTAGCTCGCGCTCCGCATCTGCTCCCATCGTATAGCTAGGTAATAGTATAGGGAGGTATCTCTTATGAGGCACCTTCGATAGAGGACGTGTAAACCCACGTTGCCATACCGCAAGATCCGTCAGTGAGGTGAGATCTTAATGAAGTCGGGATTGAAGTTTTACCATGACACGCACGTAGTCCCGATCTTAACCCAATAAAGCACATTTGGGTTTTAACATTCTTTTTATAAAATATGGTCTAAGTTTGGTGATTTCTGCAAATTGATAGAAATAGGTGGGCGTTAATTGTGCCTGAGTGTAGTTGTAAATACGCGTAATTTTCTGACTACAGTTTTGTATATCGTTATGTGATAATTTCAGCGAGAAAGCCGGTTGGGAGGGTTGCGGCGGAAGACAGAAGGAAGGAGCTAATATAAACAAGTCGCTGGTGGCATTGAGCAATGTCATATCAGCCCTAGGTTCGTATTTTTAACAGATTTTTTTAAAACGAAAAGGACGTTCTAAGTTCGACGAGTATGATTTTTCATGTATGTTTACAGATTTTTAGGAGATGACAATTTCATATTTCTTTATATAGTATATTAAGTTACAAATGGCATCAACGGTTCTACGAAAGGAGTCGAGAAATTTTGAAATTTTTTTTGGTTCCATATTAATACATTATATTGTAAATATTTCATTACAGTGAGCGGGGGTGGACGAGGAAGGTTCGTCCCATACCGCGACTCTGCGCTAACATGGCTTCTTAAGGATTGTTTTACTGGTGGAGCTACTACTTTTATCATAACAAGTAAGTATTATAATTATAAGGAACCATCCGAATCGGTTAATAATCAGACGAGTAAACTATACGATTCTGTCTTGCGATGGTTTACAGCCCTGTGATTCTGTAAAAATCCAGACCCGATTTCGAATTCACACATGTGTCCGAATTCACTTCACAAGGCGTCATCCGATCAACCTTGAATTGATTCGTGGCATAAGCAAAGCGAGTTTAGAAAAGGCATAGGAATAGAATATCTGAGGCACGTATATCCAATATTTTTTTTCTTGTATTATTATACAAAAAATGGAATTAATAGAATTTTGACACTCAATGACGTGAATTTGGACACATGAGTGAATTCGAAGTCGGGTCTGGATTTTTACAGAATCGCAGGGCTGGTGTCCTAATGATCGCATTATGCCTATCCAACTAATACTAATGTGGTATTGTGCGGGAATCAGCTGTGTCCCCTAGCGTCGCGTGCTACGGCGAGTCTGCGTCGACGTTGCGGTGGGCGGCGCGGGCGCGTCAGTTGCCGGACTGCCGCGTCACGGTGGCGCCGGCGCCTGTCGCCCGCGCGGTGCTGCTGGCTCATTACACGCGGTTGCTGGACGAGCTCGGCAGGAACTTTATACGATACGTAACTACATTCTATTTCATTAATTAATTCCGAATCTGCCTTCGTAAATTATAACCTATGTCGTTCGACTATGATGGAGCTTCCCGAAAGATTTTTGTGATTGGATCAGTATTTTCAAAGATTATAAATATACAAAAAAAGTTAGAAAATTTACCTCTTTATAATATTAGTATAGGCAAATTTGACTATATGAGTGACTTAAAGACTATTTCAAATTATTTTATTTTTATTTATTTATCAAAAGAAACGCTTTACCTTCGGTTAAAATATATTTTTTGTTGTAGGTTCCTGAAACAGGAAAAATCTCTTATGATATAAATCATTGGACATTGAATCCAAGAAATGACGACTCGCAATTGACTACAAATAAACTCGCCAACATAGGGAACATTATGAATTTATTGCATCCTAAAACTGACGCACAATCGGAATCAACAGCTTCGTCGGTAGCAAGCGGAAGTTCGGATGTAATTAATAATACTACGGATAAACTTACAAATATACAAATAAATCAAGATATTGACAAAGATGGTAATAATTTCTTTGTCCCTAATTTGGAAAGAACTCAGAGTATCAATGATTTAAAAATAATAGCGCCTTTGAGGCACAAACGTAGACAGTATAAATCGCAAGAAATTTTACCAATTGACGAGGCAATTCTTATGAATCAGCGACCCTCGAACGCATTACTTAAACATGATGCACATAAAAATAATTCAGAACACAATAAGGACAAATCGAATATTTTACAAACTTCAGTACTATATGATAATAATCAAAGAGCAGAGATAGTCGCATCCGTTACAGAAAGACTATACAACAAAATAAAAAAGAAAGAGGAAGCTGCTGCTTCAAAAATTGAATCTGTAATAGACAAAAAGATTATGGAACCCCTAAGTGAGTTACGAATTTGTACGAATGCTCGCCAACGTCTGGTGGAAATAAGTCAGAAAGCTCTTAGGAATAAACGCAGAATAGGTATACCTGCACACACGCAGACTCGTAAAACAGTCACCCGAGTTAGAGACCAAGGAATCGATGCACAGACGGATTTACACACTTATTTTTATAAAAATTGTGATAACTACACAATCAGGTGCGATGCTGCAACAGAAACATTGCCATTAACGCCTAGGTGTAAAGAAGTAGCTGTTGGATCTAAATATGGTACGATAAACTTTAATGATAAGTCTACACTAACTGAAGAAAAGAAGATTGTTAATAGAAATTCATTTGTAATGACTGACGTTGCTAGAAAATGTGATAATTTCACACAAACGCATATAGTACCACCCCCTAGGAGAAAAAGGCGTGGATGTTATTGCAATTGTTCGAGAATCATCTCGCCTGCGACTTTTCATGCAAATGATGGAAATGCTTCCCTAATAAGCATCAATATATCTCAAACTAATCCCATGGACTCAGAAACGCAAAGTTCCGATGAGGATTCTGAGAGTCAGACTGAAAGTTATGAAAAACCATCTTCAGTGAATATGACACCAGACCTATTGACTAATCATAATACATTAGATGTGAGATTAAATTTTGACAGAGATGTTAAGGATGAAACAAATATCAATATTGCTACTAATGGGGAAACAGATATAAAAGTTGACGACACACAAAGTAAATACAATAGTGATTTTTCTGATTCAGATGATTTTGTTTTACCACGTGTAAAAGTTGATGGCATAAGAAAAACTAAGTCGCAAGAAATTAGAGACATGATTTTAGGGCGTAACGATAATTCTTATCCATATAATATAATATTATCACCACCGAGAGATAGAGATCAATCAAAGATATTAGTGAAATTCCAAGAAAGCGATATTCCAAGAAAGCAGACGACTTCTGTGGCATCACAAACTTCATTGGATAAACATAGCCGTAATTTGATAAATGATAACACTGGAAATTTTGTAGAAAGAAATAGCTGCAATAATGATCGTTCCAGCATTAATTCAAATTCAAGTGAGTCAAAAAAAGATTCAGATTCATTTGTGTGGCAAAAAGGGATTATGGATGATATTAACTCAAAATGGACAAACAGTCTAGGGCGAAGGTTTACACCGGTTTATAAATTAAAAAATTCAAGGCCCTCTAAATCTAATAACAAATTATACAAAAAATTCCTGGATTTAAATAACGAAAAAAAGGATAATGAAAGTAGTTCAAACTCTTCACTAATAAATAATAATAAAGACATAATATCTAGCGATAGTTCAGATTCACGTGATATGTTTGTACGGAGAAGAGATTATTTGGAAAGCATGTTGAATTTTAAATCTGAACAAGACTGTTTTACGAGTTGCGAACAAGAGCTATTGAATTCTTGCAATAAATTACAAAAGTCTGTAGATAAGTACGAGAGTTATATTGCAAATTATCAAAACTCTATTAAAACTCCGAGAGGTGCTGCTTCTATACGTACTCCGACCGAATATTTACAGCATTTAGTACAGTTGAGAAGAGAGGTAGTAAAAGGGAACTATGAAAGAGAAAGTTCACTTGGAAATAAACTTTAACAGTTCTATGATAATAATAAACAAGGTTTAGCGTCAGAGTTAATTTACCCTAAAATTGTAATTTTAGTATTAGTCCAAATTCATATCATACAGAGAATAAGCAAACTACCTTCTAGGAGTAAATATTACTCCCGTAGAGCCTCATGCCAGGTTAACGTTTGTTAAGTCTCTGTCTAATACTATGAATTTTGACTAATACTACTAAGTACAGTCTTAGAGTAAATTTACTCTAACGTTAAACCTTGTTTATCAATAACACTGTAATAGTATTATAATAATAATTATAAATAAATTACCATGAATAAGTAAACAAGTAAAAGATAATATCGTATTTGTGTATGTGCAAAAAATATGTATGACAACAATTTGTTTTAATGTTATTAAAGTATGAAATAATAAAACCTTTTTTCCTTATTTCTTCACATAATTATAAATGACGAAGTTTTGAATATTGTATTTTTTTAATGAGTATTTATAAATAGAGGAATGTAGATTTTGTTTCTATCTTTTATTTTTCACTGCTCAACACTTCCACTGGACGTTCAATTATCTTGTTCTAAGAGAGATTAATATTGAAAATAATCATATTACTTATTGGGGTTTTGTGATTTTCTCATTTTTCAAGGTATTTAACTCGTTAAATTAGTAATTTTATTTTAGTATTCACGAAATGTGCGGTACGCGACACGAAGTAAACCCAACTGTGGAACTTTCGTATAGATTTCTGGAGACAGTAATTTTTTTTATTATACTTTAAGTTTCTGTGCCGACTTTACTTTCGAGTTGGTACTGTTGTACTTTCAAGATATAATGACGAAATAATAATTTGGCAACTCGCTCAGAATATCTGTTTGAGATTTTGAATTTGAAATAAATCGTCAAATTTCAGAAAAGAGAAAAAGCTACAACCTAGAGCTGAAGCGGCGTCTATAGCTCTAGTTGTAACTAAATAATTTACATGTCGAAGATGTTAAGCCATGTGAGTTATGTTGTGTGTTTTTGTCATACCAGTACGTTCAAAAGCATCACCAAAATATAACATTGATTACCTCAGAACAGAATAACGAGTCCAACGAGTGAGTGACCAAGTTTTTGCAGTGGCGAAATGTTTGTGTAATTTCGTCACGTCTTTGATGTGTAACTTGAATCGGATTAAACATAGTACTATTACAAGACGTATTTAGTTACAATGAAAGCCTTTTTATTGGTGATTATAAATTATCAGCATTCCTTGACTATGCGCTGACGATCTTATATGGGGTGCAAGTTACAACAAATTAATTTCATTATCTTTATTCCCTGGTAATAAAGTTGAGGCAAGACCCTAGTGAATATCTATACATTTTTCAAACAATGATCTTTAAAACTACATAATGAATTAATAGAGTGACATATTAGGAAGGTTGATATGTATAATATAGAACCAGATGAGCGAAACGGCTGGCGGAAAGCTAGTAGAGATTAAAATTAAGAACCTTTGTTTCTATATAATTATTTTATTATTCAAGTCTCGCTGACTCTTCTATTTTGTCAAGGCTCTGCATGTTGTGATACATTTAGAATCTGAGTTATATATGTAATGTTGTTTAATATAGTATAAGAGAACAAAAATGTTCAATATGGAAGCGTAAGGGGTCACTCAGTACCCATTGTGGTAGTCAAGTGCTGGAAAACTTGTCCACGTCGTGTTATCTACATGTCATCTGGTAGCCTGGGCTAAATCATTGATATATATATTATGTATGTTTAAATATTTGTATTTTCTATGTTTATGTTGCATAATAAAGAGCTTTCTTTATTTTTTGATGTTGTGGTAGTTCAATAATTAATTAATATAGTAGTTATAAAAGGAATTATTAAAATAGTATTAATAAAGTGGAGGGTCATTGCCCATCCTCCTTAACCATCCATAAGGAAGGCCTGAGCCCCTTCAGTGGGGACGTAAAAGGGCTGATGATGATGATGATGAAAGTGATAACTGTTATGGTAGCATAAAGCGGAAAGCAAATGTAGTCAGTGTTAAAGAAAATTTGATTTGTATGATAAAGTAATAGCTTTTATTCTATAATTAATATAGTAATTTCATTCAGCAATAACGTTCAACTCCTTGTTTTTTTTTTACTTTTTCCAAAATATTGGAATATGGCTCTGTTGACCGGCATCGATCACGCATAGGTTTATAGTAATTCGAAGCTGGTTTTGTTAAAATTCCTTAACGTAAACTATCACGTATGTAGTGACCTCAGAGTAGTATATTTTGAAATGTCGAATACACTGCATACCGCATGCGCTCAGAACCTTCGCGGTGACCAGTTGATGCTGTAGGCGGCGCGAACACATTGCATTCTACGAAATAATGAATAAATTCGCTCACACATATTATTTAAATCTAAATAATAAAAATTAACAAGAAAATAAAGTGATTTTTAAGTGAAGTGAAGTTTCATACGACCATGTCGGTTATCGTTATTTTGGCAGTTTGCATTTTTATTTTAACGTACGTTTGGTATCAATATAAATTCACATACTGGTCTAGGAAGGGGGTTTTTGGTCCGAAACCGATATTTCCATATGGCAACATAAAAGATGTCATAACGAGAAAGTCTCAGTTTTTCCAACCGTACTGCGATATTTATATTAAATATAAACATCTGCCGTACGTCGGCATATATTGTTTCCATCGTCCTGTGTTGTGCATTAACGATTTGGAGTTGGTGAAGCATATTCTTATAAGGGACTATGACCATTTCGAATCTAGGGGCATCTATTCAGGAGGCGAAGGGGACAGATTGGCGGTAAATCTGTTCAACATTCACGGGACCCGCTGGAAGAAGTTACGACTGAAACTGTCCCCGAATTTTACATCGGGAAAGTTGAAATCGATGTATCCCATGATAGAGAAGATAGCGAGCGACGCGCGTGGTTACGCGGATATGTTGTGTTCGAACGGTGAATCGGTGAATTTCTCGGAGCTGTATGGCCGGTACGCTATGGAGATAATCGCCAATATAGGTTTTGGCGTTGAATGTAATGGTTTCAACAGTGAAAAGTCCGAGTTTTTCGATAGGGGGCGCGAGTATTTTGATCCACGGTCATTGTACTGGTAAGTTTTTGTTTATTTTTTAAATTATAAGTGCGTTATGCACATTCACATTGCAAATTTTATTAATTGAATGTTATTTCAAATATATGATAAGGGTTTTGCGTCTGAGTATAACTAATTAAAAAATATATATGACACTGAAGCAGTGACTAACTCATAGTGGTCGTATTTAACGTTTCTTGGAACTTTCTTTAATGATGAGTATTTATAAAAAAATGTAGTTCTCAAAATCGAAGTAGATGTTGTTACTCGTAGATCTACATCTACGGACATATTTCCATTTTCTTTCTGACGTAACAGAACTAAAGTTTATTACGAAAATTAATAATAACCATTGTCATATTTTTCAACTTTACCAACCTAAGTTTTGAGAATTAATTTCATTTTTTAAAACACATGGGCTTACGTGTTAAGTATCGAATTCATCTTATGATATTTAGGTATATTAGTATTTTTTTTTATAAAATCTCTTCACAATAGATAACAGAGATAAATTTATATCAATACGCCTGCTATGCGTTAGCGATCAAATTTAGTTAATGTACGATCGCAAACTGCGAGGTTGCATGCTCTGCCGGGTAACTACACTTGCATGGTCATTCGGCTTTTATTACCTGACCCATCAATGATCAGGTAAAGAGCGTATAAAGTTTTTATTTTAAAGTTTGAAGCTCGTTTTCCCTAGGCCGTAGTTCGTAAAACGTCGTACGAACTCCGGGAACTTCGCACAGCTAGAAAAGTTAGTACATCAATTAGTATAGGTATCTAATCATACACACATTATAAAATAGTATGCATCCAAGCATACTATTTTATAGTATTTACTAATTTTTCATACATTCGATTCAAAAAAATTTTAAGGTTACTCAATATGAAACAAAAATGCTATTTTTTCTTTTTATAATATACAACTCCTTTGATAATTTTTTTAAAGATGTCACTTAGTATTTACGTTTCATACCTATCTAGATAGATAATAATGATAGCCAAAATATTTTAATATAATTCTTTCGGATCTAGTACTAAGCTAATTAACATACACGTGTAATGCGTTGATGTTTTTTTTTTATTTCTATTTGAAGATACGTAAGATGAAAAAGTACAGATTTTTGTTGAAATCCTAATAACTAAAGTTTTGTGCTTGTGTTTAAGTTTAACTGGTAATAAAATGGTTAATTCATAAACGTATTATAGCAAGCGTAATCCTTCAGGCATTTTTATTCAATCTTTGGGAGATGTTTTCTAGATATCAATTAAAGTCTTCGAGCCTATTGAAAAAAATGGAAATATAGTAAAAATGCATATTTATTTATTGTTAGTTTTAAGATAAAATATGAAACAACTATTGAGAATGGGCGACATATGCAACTGCATATTATAATTCAGTCTCTACTCGTGACTGATATGTATTATAGCCTTGTTTAGCAGTATAATTATTATGATGGATTTAGTGTATGTTTATTCTTAGCAATTTTATATTAAAAGAAAAGACTTTAGCAGTAAATTAGTTGTAGACATTTTTTAACAATTGAATGACATGTCATAACTGTTATGGTTTAATATTAACAGTGGTTTACTGAATGTTATTAGTAACACATACAGTAGATAATGGTTACCTTGTGGCATTCTAATACGGCAAGAACGAGTGTAGCCTTAAAGTTAGGCCAATCAGTCTTCACGAGGTTTAAGTCTACTTGCGCGTTGTTCACTTTTTGTTTTTATGAAATCCGAAGTTACGGGAATTCTCAGTTAAGCTACTTTCATTCTGAGGGTGCAAAATGTATCTTCTAAAAATCAACACGGTTTCAGAGAAATCGGATATCTTGCCGTTTTTTTATTAGGTAGTCTTGGCCCAGACTACATATAATTTGGTTTGGTACATCTCCTATTACACATT